TTAGAGCACTTCCCATACTTGAAATTCCGAAATAGTTTCAGAGGGATTGATAATTATAATTTTACATCACCTCAGCCATGGAGCTCGCCATGCCCTATTTGCGATGGAAAACATAGGAATTATGGATTACATGGTGAATGGTATAAAAATGAAACGGAATATTGTCTTACCTGCAACACTTCAAGCGATAAATTCAAGTTTGCAATTGTAACCACATGATGGCATTGTTGCATTATGGCAAATGGCAGATCAATAGAAAAGATATTATTCCACAGTATGAACAAAAATATGTATTTTTTTATTTACAATCAATAAAGCTAAAGCACATTAAATGCAAAATATTTATATGTCAATATCTACTGTAGTATGATTTGAGGAGAGCTAATATTTCTCAATCAGTTTTTCATCCGTGGATCGATTACTTGCAGTATCATTTAAAAAACGTCACCATGTATCACGGGAACAAGTTATTACCACTATATAATTTATTCTTGAAACTTCCCACATATACTCAAACTTTTACATGCATTAATAATAAAAAAGATCTTCTTGTTGATCCAGGGACACGATCCCAGTGTCTATTATAATTTTAAGGAGTATCCGTTGATCTGATTTTCGTGATGAATCATAATAACATAATTTCCCCAAAGATTTATTCTAAAAATCGATCCTTAAATGCATTACAAATCTTATAAAAAGGTGAGGCTTTATTTAGTAAATCCTTTTATTCGCCTTGTGCAAGTAAAGCAAAAAAAATATCAAAACAAACATTCAAACTTACCACTATTAACATTAACAATATCAACAATCAATCAAACGAGTATATTCCGCAAAGTAATAGCGAAGTTAGTTTGTTTGATTTCTCGGCTTGATTCTAGAAAATCGCCATCACGATGCTAATCATTTTTTTCGGCTCTATAGATGCTCAAAGATAAAGCGGACATATTACATTTCTTTGATATTCGCCGAGAAAATCGTGCATTGTCATGTGTCTAATCGGTATCAGTGCAGTAGTCACCAGATTTTCGTCACATGCTGAGATATAGTGCGTTTGGCGCAGTATTGTTCTAGCGATAAACGCCTTTATTATAGTAAAAAATTTCTTGAATATGAGGCTGAACGGAATGTTGTGAAAATGAAGTATAACGGTAAGTGTGAATCAGAAGCCTTAACTTGTTTTATTTCTTTTAACCCGTTGCTAATCTCAGAATTCTTCATACAGTTTCGAAATTATTTCATCTCTCTTGCAGGAAATAATCTATTATATGGTCTGTGTGGGTGGGATAGACGAAAATTCCGTAGATATGTGTGAGAAAATTATTTCGAAAATCTAGTGTAGAAAAGAATATAGGGATAAGAATCTTGTAGTTAGAAATATTAGCAATAGAAACAAGTTAGCTTTAGATATTTTTGAGAGAGAAGAAATAACTTGATGCTGGGACTCGCATTCAATGGCCTAGGATCCGCGTACTCCCTCCCTCTTTGATAGCATCATATATTTCTTTCGCTACCTTCACTTTTTTTTACTGAAAAATTAATAAAGTTTCAAAGTTTATTTTAACATGTAAGAATATACATAAGTATTGTGGATAGTGGATATAATACGGTTGATTTAATTCACGGTATACTGGAAAACATCATGCAGAGTAATGCCTTAAGCACGCGTGCCAAAGGAAACCCCTGGAGAATGCTTCCAAACATCTGACACAGGAAGTAATGTCCGTATGCCAGTAGGTATACACAACGCAAACCTGGACATTAGCATGCAGGGTAATGCCTTGAACACGCATGCCCAAGGAAATTTCTGGAGACTAGTGCCAAGCATCTAACGTAGGAAGTGATGGCCATACGCTAGTAGGGATTGCGCGTGAAGAATATTGGCTTGTCCCAAATATTCCAAAAACTAAGAACTAAAAATAAAACTTGTTTTCTAATTAATACGAGTGTTTATGGACACTTTTTTTTACGTGTTGCCATATCTGCTAAAAGTTCTAACTTAATTTGTAAAATAAATGTAAAACGCGAACTTTGATTATCGATCAAAATTTGATCTTGTGAAAATCACGTGATTCTATGATTTCTATAATATCAATTTATCATGTGTGTTTTAATATATCTGATATTGTATAAAATTAGCGCTCTTTTTAAGATGTTTACAGAAGGAATGGTCGATTATTGGTGCCTTGCGATACATAGAGCCCAAAACCGAAATATTATCAATAGATACAATCAATACTTTCAAGACTGACCTGTATTCACTGTTACGTAGTATAGGCGAAAAAGGCTATGCACACGAGTTTGCCAAGAAAAAGGCGAGGAAAATTCTGACAAATTATGATAAGTCATTCTTTTCAGCCGACGTAAAACGTTTTATCGATGAAATTGAACTAAAAAATGAAAAAAAGGAATTTCACACATCGATAAGTCGAAGAGTTACATCCGCAAGTACATTAAGGGCACTGGAGGTGAGTCTTAAGGCAAACCTAGGAGAATAAAACATTATAATAGTCTTTCTGACAATCCTATTAGGAGCATCGTACGGACAGAATAACAATCGAAGCTTTGCGCAACGCAATAAACACAACATCAACCATCGAAGATCTTAGGGGAGAAATAATGGATGGAGTCGAGGTTTGTTGATATCATTATGTCAACACAAATCGTATTTTGTCTCAATTATATATTTATCTCTTTTATCTCTTCTCTTCTCAAGAATGGTCAAATTGTTTCCGAAGCTGTACAAGAGTCGAGTGATCTCGGTGCGCAAAGTTACGATCAAGAAGGTCAAGACCTGTTGCGAAATACAAATACCCTAGGGAAAAGGGAAAATACAAGTGATGCTGAGGAAGAACGAGTATTAAAAAGGCAATATAATCGAGACCGTTACACCACACCACCATCACGACAACAATCGCCACGACGACCAGATAACCTTATTATTGAGTCACCTAAGTTTTCGGAAACCAATCAGCACTCTATCTTTTATGGAGGACTTCCAAATTATGAAGAGGGCATAAAGATTGACCCGGAATTAGTACTTAAAGAAACTAATGAAGCCATGATTCCTTATTTTGAACGCTCTTTCAATTATGATTC